GAAGTAAAACCCCTTTGACAGCAGCGGTCCCCGCAGGGCCATTTCGTCACTAATTACTCGGGTTGCATCAAAGTCCTTCTTCGTCACGAAGCACCATGTCAATAATGCTATGTTGAAGTTCATATCAGTGGTGTTCCTAGAGGGCATGAACCGGCTGCAGATGACAGTCAACCAACACTTAGCCAAATGCGTGAAAGAATTGGAGTTCAGGGTGCTTTGGTCTTTGATCTAGGTGGGGTGCCCCCCAGCACAAAGTACATCAGTCATAGCCTCCCACGTGACACCTGGTCTATCATGGTAGAAGTCAACGTCGCCCGTGAACTGGGGCAGCTGCAATACCTGTTGGACAGTCACAATAGAGGCATCTACCACTATGCCTCGCACAATCACCTCCCGCAGCATATGTGCAGGGCAGTTCGTGTAAAACTCCCTAACAATCATCTGGTTCACCGGGCCCGGAGGATCAAAGAGGAATTCCATTTCCCTCCTCTGAATTTCTTCATACATGTCCTCCTGTTCCACGCGGAGGGCTGCCCGGTCAATTTGAATCTCGTGAATGAAGTTCTTTCCAGCCTTTGCATTAAAATCATCCTCAGCTCGTTCCGATTCAAACCGGGACTCGTCAAATGTCGGCTGGAGGGATGTGCCCGCCCCTCTCCTTTGCCTTTTACGGGCCATAGTACCTGCAGGGAGTCAGAAGAAAAAGAAAAAAAAATCAACTTCATCCTAATTAGTGCCAGTCAGATGGGTACTCAGACATCATCACCTTATGGCACCAAAACACTGCCCCCATTTAATTCTTCTTGACAACTAGCTGCACAAGCGGGGTGGTGAAGGTCATAACCTCCATAGAGGCCTCACAATAGAACTACTTACCACATTCTGCCAACACCACCCCACACTTACTCCTGTGCATATCTTTCCACCCATAAACAACACCCCCTATCATCGAGTACAACACTCCACAATTAGGGGTGGGTAGAACCCGCCCCTCAATATCACAACAACTCCAAAATTGTGGCCCACATGGTGCCTAAAAACAACTATTCCCAAAAAATTAGATTTTTAGACCAAAACATCACAAATACCATGAAGGCCCAAGCACTTTAACACCAACCAAGTTCACAACATTATCATACAACAACGAAAATCATGAACAAAGCGAAAATTGACAAAAAGTATACTAAGCCTACCTAGGTTTAAACTAAGTAAAAGTATTCTAGATTACACAAAAATAGAAGATTAAATAGAGAGAGAAAAATAAAAACTTACTAGTGTGGTTGAGTAGAAGTGGGTGATGAAGGTGGATGGCAAGGGAGTGTGATAATGGGGTTTTGGGAGGAGAAGAGTGGAAGAGAGAAGATAGAGAGAAGATGGAGAAGAAGAGAATGAGAAAAGACAGGGGGGTTGTGTTTTATTATGCTGGGCAGATGGGGGAATTAGTGGTAGGTGGGGTGGGGTATTTTGGGTAAAAGGGAAAGAAATTTTTTTTTTTTTTAAAAAAATCGGACCTGGACCCGATCTGTGGCTGCCTCGGTTCTACCGCGGTCGCGGTAGAAACGCGGTAGACCAAGTTCAGAGGGTCGTACTTACCGCGGTTCTACCACGATCACGGTAGAAACTCGATGACCTAGGTTCAGAGAGGGGTCAGTACCGCGGTTTGACCGCGGTCTGATCGCGTCTCTGATTCTGACGTCTTTTTTTTTTATGTTATACTTACAACAATTTCGTGAGTTGCCTCCCACGGAGCGCCTGATTTAACGTCGCAGCACGACGCAGGATGAGCGCATTTAAGGCTCGCTCGACCTCTGTGGTTCAGTCAGGTGTAGTTCAGACCCTTCCTTAAGCTCGCTCATACCCACATACAACTTCAATCTTTGACCATTGACTCTAAATGTACGAGAGTCATTCTCAGTGGCAACTTCAACCGCTCCTGACGGGAAAACTTCAACTACTCGAAATGGTCCCGACCATTGTGACTTCAGCTTGCCCGGGAACAACCTTAGTCTTGAGTTGTATAGCAATACCATGTCCCCAGGTTTGAAATTTCGCTCAACAATGTTTTGATTGTGTAGTTTCTTCATTCTCTCTTTGTACAGCCTTGTGCTCTCAAAAGCAAGATACCTGAATTCCTCGAGCTCATGCAATTCTGTGACTCTTGATGTGCCCGCAGCTTCCATATCTAAGTTTAGTTGCTTCAGTGCCCACCACGCTTTATGCTCAAGTTCTACAGGTAGGTGACAGGCCTTCCCAAACACTAACTTGTATGGTGACATACCAATTGGTGTCTTGAAAGCTGTTCTGTAAGCCCAGAGTGCATCATCTAGCTTCCTTGCCCAATCAGTTCTTGTGGCGTTTACAGTTTTCGTTAACACACTCTTGATTTCCCTGTTGGATACCTCAACCTGTCCACTAGTCTGCGGGTGGTAAGGAGTAGCTACCTTGTGGCGCACATCGTATTTCATAAGCAACTTCTCGAAGGCTCTATTGCAGAAGTGAGTGCCTCCGTCGCTAATAATCGCCCGTGGTGTCCCAAAGCGGGTGAATATGTTCTTCTTTAGAAATCCCACCACCACTTTCGCATCATTTGTGGGCAATGCTACAGCTTCCACCCACTTGGACACATAGTCTACAGCAACAAGGATGTATTTATTGCCATAGGAGCTGACGAAGGGACCCATGAAATCAATCCCCCAGACGTCGAACACTTCTATCTCCTGAATTGGGTTCATGGGCATTTCGTGGCGCCGGGAAATGTTCCCGGTGCGTTGACATTCATTACAACCCTTCACCCATGAGTGCGCATCTTTAAACACAGTCGGCCAGAAAAATCCGGCCTCTAGCACCTTCGCTGCTGTCTTGATCCCTCCAAAGTATCCACCATAAGCGGATGCATGACAAGCCTGCAAAATAGAAGATTGTTCTATCTCGGAGACGCATCTCCGGATCATGTTATCCAGGCATATTCTAAAGAGATAGGGCTCATCCCAATAGTACAAGCGGCTTTCACGAAAAAATCGTTTCCTCTGGACCGATGAAAGGTCGTGAGGGACTATACCACTGGCTAGGTAATTGGCCAAGTCCGCATACCATGGCGCTTCCTGATGAGTGGTGGCGAGCAGTTGCTCGTCTGGAAAAGTTTCCAGAATTTCCTCAACTTCAATTGCATTTTCAGATCCCTCAAGTCGTGATAGGTGATCAGCGACTTGATTCTCAGTGCCCTTGCGGTCACGTATTTCAAGATCAAACTCTTGCAGAAGCAGCACCCAACGAATCAGGCATGGCTTAGAGTCTTTCTTTTCTATTAAGTATCTGAGAGCAGCATGGTCAGTGTATACAATTACCTTTGATCCTATCAGGTAGGACCGGAACTTGTCGAATGCGAACACCACAGCTAGCATCTCCTTTTCAGTCACCGTATAGTTCAACTGGGCTCCACTCAGCGTTCTACTAGCATAATAGATTGGGTGCATCAATTTATCTTTTCGCTGGCCCAACACTGCCCCCACTGCGTAGTCACTAGCGTCACACATTAGTTCGAACGGTTGCTCCCAGTTGGGGGCAACAATGATGGGTGCTGTGACCAGCCTCTGCTTCAGCTTCTCAAACGATACCCTGCAATCATCAGAAAATACAAACGGGTGATCTTTCTCTAATAACTTACAGAGAGGATTGGCGATTTTGGAGAAGTCTTTTATGAACCGCCGGTAGAAACCGGCATGTCCAAGGAAACTCCTGATTGCTTTGACCGAAGTTGGTGGAGGCAGCTTTGCTATTACATCAACCTTTGCTCGATCTACCTCTATTCCCTTGCTTGACACCCGGTGCCCCAAGACTATGCCTTCTTGTACCATGAAATGGCACTTTTCCCAATTCAGCACCAGATTAGTCTCGATGCACCTTTTCAGCACACGCGTCAGATTCACCAGGCACTCATCAAATGAATTCCCCACCACTGAGAAGTCATCCATGAACACCTCCATTATATCCTCAACCATGTCAGTGAATATGGCCATCATGCACCGTTGGAATGTGGCGGGTGCATTGCATAGGCCAAAGGGCATCCTCCTAAAGGCATAGATGCCATAAGGGCATGTGAAAGAGGTCTTCTCTCGATCCTCAGGTGCAATGGAAATCTGATTGTACCCTGAGTACCCGTCCAGAAAACAAAAGTGTGACCTCCCTGCTAATCTATCCAGCATTTGATCAATGAAGGGAAGTGGGAAGTGGTCTTTCCGGGTGGCTAGATTCAACTTTCGATAATCCATGCAAATTCTCCAGCCTGTGACGGTTCTCGTTGAGATTAGTTCATTGTTGTCATTCTTCACAACCGTCATGCCACCCTTCTTAGGCACACATTGAACTGGGCTAACCCAGCTGCTGTCAGAGATTGGGAAAATAATTCCCGCATCTAGCCACTTTATCACTTCCTTCTTCACCACCTCCTTCATATTCGGGTTCAGCCTCCTCTGATGTTCCCTGGAAGGTTTGTGCCCCTCTTCCAGCAGAATCTTATGCATGCAGTACGCGGGGCTGATCCCCTTGATGTCTGCCATGGTCCACCCAATGGCAGTTTTGCACTCCTTCAATACCTGTAGAAGCTGTTGGACCTGCACATCTAACAAACCAGATGAGATAATAACAGGTAGAGTGGAGTTAGGTCCCAGAAATTCATACCTGAGGTGGCCTGGCAATGGCTTTAGTTCCAGCTTCGGTGGTTCTTCAATGGATGGCTTAGCTGGAGGAGTCTCCCTCTTTTCTAAGTGTAGGGGCTCAAACTCTAGATTTCTTTCCCAAAACCCTCTACCTTCCAATGCCAACACCCATTTTGCCAAGTCTTCACCGTTCACTTCCTCCAAATTCGTCAAACATGCAGCGATGGGATCCTCAATCGTCAACACTTCATCATCAGACTGAACGATTACATCCACAGCATCAATAAGAGAGCAATTTGCGAACTCACTTAGGCGCCTCATATATTTCTGCACATTGAATATAATCTATTCGTCATTGAGCCTCATCTTAAGCTCCCCGGTCTCACAATCAATAAGAGCTCTCCCTGTGGCCAAGAATGGTCTTCCTAAGATGATAGGAATTTCTTCATCTACTTTGCAATCCAATATCACAAAATCAGCAGGGAACACGAACTTCCCCACCTGAATAAGTACATCATCAAGGATCCCAAATGGACGCTTCACAGTCTTGTCAGCCAGCTGCAACAGCATAGAGGTGGGTCTAGCTCTCCCAATGCCCAACCTCTTGTAAATGACCAGGGGCATAAGATTAATGCTCGCCCCTAAATCAAAGAGTGCTTTCGCAAAAGCAAAGTTTCCAATAGTACATGGAATAGTAAAACTCCCGGGATCTGAGAGCTTTTCAGCAACAGGTCTAGTTACCACTGCACTGCACGTCTGAGTAAGTGTCACCGTAGCCAAGTCTTGGAAGTCAAATTTCCGGGACATTAAGTCTTTCATCATTTTTGTGTATCCAGGCATCTCCTTTAAAGCTTCGATCAATGGAATATTTACCTGAATTTGCTTGAGCATCTCAAAGAACTTTTTGTATTGCTCCTCCTTTTGGTGTTTAGCCAACCTCTGCGGAAATGGTGCAAGAGGTCTTTTCTTCCCAATCACTTGGGACTTTTCTTTCTCAGCTACTATCTCTACTACTGGCTCTTCATCTGCTTCAGCAACTTTCTCGGTCTCCTGCTGAGTATTCTTTTCTTCCTGAGCAGGCTGGACTGTCACATCTGTCAGCCTTATGGATTCATCCAGCTCAATGGGTACCTGAATAAGTGTCTCAGCATGTATATTGTCACGAACTCTCTCCTGCTCTTCATCGAGATCCCTGCCATTACGGAGACTCACCGCCATCAGCTGCTTCGGGCCCTGATCTTTAGGATTGATTTGGGTATCTACAGGTAGCGTTCCTTGAGGACGATTATTTAGAGACATTGAAATTTGGCCCACCTGCACTTCAATATTTTTGATAGCTGTGTCATGTGCATCTACTCTCTCATTTATCTTCGCAGTGGACCCAATAGCCTGCTGCATCATTGCTTCCAGTCTAGCAAACCCATCGTCCTGTCTTCCACCATGCTACTACTGAGGCGGGTGGTACCCCTGCTGCTGATTGTTGTACCCCTGGGATCTAGGATACGGTGCCATGTTGTTAGGGGGTGTTATACCTCCCATGTTTCCGGCGTTATATTGTGGCAGAGGTGGTCTGTACTGTTGTTGAGTCTGCTGACCCCAGTTCTGATTTCCCTGTCTCTGACCCCCATAGTTAGCTACATAGTTCATATCTTCAGGGTGCTGATGATGATGATCAAGCTCTGTATTCCAAGGATTACCAACTGGTTGACTAATGCAAGATGTGCACAAGCCCCCATTGGTAGTGTCTACTATGTGTACCTGCTGCTTCTGTCCTGATTCCTCCACCTTTTTGGTGAGGATGCTCATTTGTGTCAGGAGAGTCGCCATATTTTCAGCCATAGTGTTTGAAGGATCAAGGGGCACTGAGTGTACCACTGGAGTGATGGGTGCATTCCTGGATGTCCATCCCGAATTCTGTGCCATTTTATCAAGTAAACTCTGACCTTCTCTCCATATCTTGCTCAAGAATGCCCCACCAGCTGAAGCATCCACAATATTCTTCAACCCATCCGACAGTCCCATATAAAATCGTTGTCCCAACATCTGTTCTGGAATACCATGATGTGGACACATAACCAACATTCCTTTGAACCTGCTCCATGTTTCATGCAGTGTCTCCATTGGTTTCTGCTTGAAGCTCACGATCTCATCAATTTGTTGGGCAGTTTTGTTGGGTGGATGAAACTTGTTATGAAACTGCTTGACTAACTCATCCCACGTTGCTATAGAATTTATTGGGAGTGAGTTTAGCTAAACCTGTGCAGCTCCTGTCACCGAGAATGGGAACAATAATAACCTGATAGCCTCTGGAGTGACATTGGGCTGCCTTTGGGTCTTGCAGATCGACAAGAAGTTCTTCAAGTGTTGCTGAGGATCTTCAAATTGTGTCCCAAAAAAGAGTCCCTTGTTTTGCAACAAGTGCAGCATATTATTTGTGATCTGGAACGACTCAGCTTGTATTGCAGGCACAACTATGGCAGTAGCTAAATTGTCAGCTGTGGGTTGTGCCCAGTCATACAGTGCACCCTCGGGCACCAGGGGTGCCGCGTCTCTGACATTCAAGTTGACTTCCTCATGCCTGCTGTTTCCGTTAGGGTCGATTGCGTCTCCCATGTCAGTTTCGAATTTGTCTGTTTAATGAGGTGGTTGAAGTCTTCTGTTGGCACGGTTCAATGCCCTAAATATTTTCTCAGGGTCTGCGAGTCCTTCAAGTAGTTCTCCAGTCCTTGTAGAGTTTCTAGGCATTCACCTGTGCAACCAAGTCAACAACCGTCAAAAATTTCAATAAAAAATTGGGTGTAGAGAAACTGCCTACGCGAAGAATTTTTTTGTATTTCTAGCAATGGTAATTGATAATTTCGTTAACTCCCCGGCAACGACGCCAAAATTTGATCACGCCCAACTATGCCTTATAAAAAGGACAATGCGGTCGTTGCAAATATAACCCGAGTATTACGCCCAGGGTCGAATCCACAGAGAGTTAACCTAGCGATCACTATCTTTAGACCCACTAAACTCTTCAGAACCAGCTTCCCAAATGTTTGAATCACAAGTTGATGGTTTCTATAGTAACTAAAATTGCAAGTAAATTAAACAATAGTAAACTAAAATGCTAAGGTTGTAAACAATGATGAGAAAAAGCTAAGGTAAAGAATTCCCCTATTGATGGAATCCCTTCTGTTTATGCTTCATACAAATTTACCAACACACCTATACCAATCATGAACGCTCGTCTTACCGTAAATCTCTCCCGAGTAATCACAGTAATATACTATTGCACTCTCCCGAGATACACTAGCTAGATTTAATTAACACGGTTCACTTAAGATTGCACCCAAGGCTTCGTTATCCCTAATCTCGCCTTTAAACCCGCAGTTATAGATTCCTCTTATACTTTAGGAGTGGTGTTATTCAACAATAACCAAAATATGCACTTTCTCCCGAGTTATGCACACTAAAAGGCACAGCTAATTGAGGATCCTGTCAATTAACTACAACAAGAACATAGTTGAATAAATAAAGATTGAAACTAGCAATTTGTATTCACATAAACAATAAGTTCATCCCCCAATAGGTTCCATCAAAACCTTAGACAAGGGATTTAGCTACTCATAACTATGGGTAAACAAGATAAGATAATATTCATCATCAAAAACTAGCAATAAAAATCAAAGAAAAGAAGAAAGATGTTTTGGGTGATCTCTCACAATTGTTTTTCTTGCCAAGATACTCTCAAATTCAATACATGCCTCTCTTGGGCGAAGTCTAGTGTTTAAAATAGGGTTTTGGGCTAAAAATCCCGTGTTTTGCACTTTAGCCCCTGAAATTTCCGCCTCCTGCCGCGGTTCCACCGCGGTCGCGGTAGAACCGCGGCCAAACATGGCCTCTGAATTTCCTTCTATCCGCGAACATCCTTCGCCGCGGTTCTACCGCGGTCGCTGTAGAACCGCGGTAGACTCAGTTTTCTGATTCTTCAGCCTGTTTTGCGTGGTTCACTTGGGATATTTCATGGTTGGCCTCTCTTTCTTCATTTTTTTTTTCACTCCAAAAGTGCTCCCTAGCCTTCCTTAGTTATATATAACCTGCAAATCATGAAAAGCACTAATAAGAGCATTTTGTTATCACTTTATTATCAAAAATATGCAAGAAGGCGGTTATTTAGGGTCTGCAAAAAGTTAAATTCACCTATTATCATTTTCCTTTCAAATGGTTTTGGCATCTGCTCGGGTTATTCTCTTTTTCTTTTGAAGCTTATTCAGCAACCATTTCCATGCCATCTATTGAAATTTTTGGCTGCTGCACACCACAGCCACCTCTATGCTTCAACCCACAAATTTAATGGTTTACCCACTTATAACTCCATTAATAGTGATAAACATATGCTCTGTAATTCAACTCATTACAGCTCCTTCTTCACCCCTTCATTGCCGCCATGGATTCTCGTTCTGGAGGAAAAATTGTTAAGAATTGGTGAAAGAGATACGTCGTTGGTCCTTACGACACCACTGTCGCCGAAACAACAGGCGTTTCTCGACAACCCTAATTGTCTCCCCGGCCATATTTTTCCAACGTCGCGTACAATTCTCTCTGGCGCTGCTAAGACTCTGAATGATTTTTAGTTCCGACTCGTCTGCTTCTCCTCCTCCGATATCGACTCCATGTTTGGTACTCCATAAAATTGATGAAAATGAAGAGGAGAAGTATGTGGATGCTTGTGATTAAGAAGAGAAAAAGGGTAATAGCGTTGTGCGGGTCATGGGTAACGAGTCGGGTTGGATTCAATCTCTCAAAAGACACCACGTGTCTTGGCCGTTAAAATAGGGACAAATATAAAACTTTGATGGACGGCGGGGTATATTTGAACGAAAGTATAACGGGATAGACTTGAACAATAAATGAAAGTAGAGGGATATATAAAACTTTTCCGAATCTCTTTCCCCCCTTTTTTTTATAATTTATAAATACGCATACTTAATCTTGAATCAATTTGAAATAGACAGCAGATGAGTGTTACATTTCTTTCGACTGATAAAATCCTATTAGAGTAAAAAAAAATGAGAAATAAAATAAAAGGAAAGCTAAATAAGACATTTGGTAATGGTAACTGGTAAATTAAAACATTTCTCAAGAAGAATCTTTTATTGTATTTGGTTAAACAATGGTTGAAAATGTTTTTCACAAGTAAAATGGATGTCATCGATGAGCGAAAAATATTTCTTTACATATATTTAGCTTGTACTCCCCATCAACAACAACAACAACAACTCCCCATCACTTAAAATGAAATTTTTTTCTCATGAAATATATTTATATTTTCCTCAAAGAAAACGATACTATATTTGCTGCAGTTTGCAAAGGAACCTTTGTATATCATTTACAGTCCAACTTTTTTGAAAGGAAAAAAAAAATGTTCGTAAATACTTCCTGGAGTAAAGTAATAATAGAAAATCACGTTAACTTATGCTCTATCATGTTCCAAAATTTAAGAATATATGCAAAATCTACAAAGTGACAAGAATGAGGCTTTCCAAATATTTTCAGAGTCATGTTTATCTCCCAAGAGCTGATATATTTTTACATCACAGAGAATATTCACTTTCCACTAATCATTCTGACTTGCATGTTCGAGAGCCGTTCGATGGAAATCTCTCCATCGATCATGGTCTTTTCATCAAACTGATTCTCCTAGGCATGATGTATACGTGTTTACTTCAAATAGGGTCCAAATAGAGTATACACTAGGGCGAAGCTATATTGTCCGAGGGTGGTCAATTGAACAACTTTTGTCGAAAAATATTATTGTATATATAGGTGAAATACAAGATTTTAGAAGTATATAACATGTATGGAATACCCTTGGACAGTGCTGAAACATGTAGAGGCTTGAATCAAGAAATTGGTCTTGTTAGAGCTGGCTGGCGACACTCGTCGGGGATCTCACTACAAGTCATTTGAAAACTTTATTTGTATGTTTGGCTCTATTGTTAATGTACTTGATACTCTTGTTGAAAATGCAGGTACTTTAGGTAGTAGAGCTCGAGCATCGGTATATCTTGAAGCTTGTAAAACATTTAAGGTTGCCTAGCTTGTTGTATTTATTGACAGTTATTTTGAGAATCCAAATGAGCTTAATGTATCCCTATAGGAAGAAAAAAAAAACAAGCTACAAGCTACTGCAAACTCTATGTTACTTGTTCAAGTAGCAAAGAGAATATTGCAAACATAGCACATACTTGTTGTTCATACTGTCTTTCATCATTATCACGTTGATGTGTTTTGTAAAGTTAATGATTGGAAACTTCAAGAACTCAATGAGCTTTTTGACGAAGCAACGACTGATTTGCTTCATGGAGTTGTTTGTTTGAATCAAATTGACTCATTCCCATTTTTGACATCAGACT